AACAAAACTTTGAGAAATCTTTGAACATCTGCTGATTTCTTTTGTGGTCAACGCGATGGAAGATGGCTGTATACTTGTAATAACTGGGCTTAGCAAACACAAAAATGGYCATAGCTCTTTGCAGATATTGAGCTAAAATGGTGTCATCTCCAAGGCGTACATTCTAACAAATCACGTGAATGAAGTCTTGCAAACTCGTAGTGTCTCATGCACATTGACTCATGCACTTTGGCTAAAAAGGATAAAGAGATTTCAGTTTAAAACTTTGTGAAATTTGGCGAGCAACATGCACTTATTCCCGTAATACTTGGCTCTTAATTTTTGAGTTTCTTCAGTTTGTAGCATTCTGTTTTTCTTTAACGATGGTCAGATTGACTTCAGTCTCTCCCATCCTGACTGACAGCTTCCCCYGTCTTCACATTGGAATAATTTCCACAACATATATTAGTGAGGTTGAAGATTTTCTTCTTTCTCCAGGGTTTACCTCCAAGTCAAACACACTTCAGGACAGTGACTTCTGCAGCTGCAGCTGTAGCTGAGTGGCAAATGATCTTATATCCTAACGGGCAAMACCGCAAAAAAAAAGCTACCCAGTGTTTGATGCCTTTCGAAATGTAGCACACCGTTCTTTTAGATGTGATGAAAACAATGAAGCAACAACTGCAGTGTTGTGTGTGCCAAAAAAAGAAAGTATGAAGCGAAACAGAAAAAGGACAACAAACAGAATTGTCTAATTTCATGTTTTTTTTTTCTTCTTGCTGTAATTGATCATGAAGCAGTTGTTGGGCGTGCCGGGGCAGCTGTTGTGTCGCAGCACTGTATAATTACCCGGCTGTGACCAATGACCCAGGACAGGATATGATGCGTACCTGCCTCTGTAGCTTTTGTAAACACTTGGGTGTGTTTTTCCCTCTTGATCATTTTTTCTGCTTTGCTATAGGTCATAAGAAAAATATGTAAAAGTCCTCCCTTTTTACACCCTGAAACTCTGTGCTTGTTGCCTTCCAGGGACTATTCCTACAAGTTAAGTTATTTATAGTAACTCCTATAATAATGGGGCTTGCAGTTATATAAACAGATTTATAT